TATGATGTTTCTCTCTGTGCAGAGTATCAGTATGCTTGCAGAGCACCCACTGGCTTGCTCCCTGAGTGCCGCATGGTCTACACGTATGAATTCAGGGGTTATGTCTTTCTTGGGTGATTCAGAACCTTAAAATTTAAAATGGGGGGGGGGGGAATAAGTCATGGGAATGAAAGTTATCTTTAACTTGCAATTAAAATAATTATGGAAACCTTGGGTGGGTAAAATAATGGAGGCTTCAATAAGTATGTGCAATAAAGCTAGTCAATAAAGTTACGGAAATGCTTACACAGATTCCTTGTGCGTGTCATGTGTCACTAATGCACTTAAAAGGTTGATAAAGTGGTGTGTCGCGCTCATCTTTCAAGCCCTTGTAACAGGAGATGGAATATTGGTTCCAGTCTCTAGCTGATGTGCTTGGGGGACTAATAGGGTGGACAAAATTTCTTGATGGGGCTGTAAAATTTCACGTGGAAATCTTAAAATAGTGAAAATACACTGGGGTCCGAAGGCGCTGTTAGATTTGCGATGGGTCTCACCGGGCTGTTGTCTGCATGCAAGCTCCCTTGTGGCCTTTGAAAGAGAAAATTTAACAAACCAATACGGAAGCAAAATGCAAATGCGTTTAGTACCTGAGGCTTGGAGCGATGTCTGTATATTAAGAAGAAAAAAAGCTGTGGTGAGGGGTGTGTGTGTGGGGGTGTCTCTGCTACCTGGATGAGCTGCTTCTCCAGGGTCCTATCGTAGTTCCTATGGACTGAAGAGGCTCATTTTCTTACCAAATTTGTCAGAGCCTGTTAAAGTTTTGGGTGCGAGCTAAAGAAAGGTCTAGTCTGTGAGCAGGCACAAAGTGGGAATGGCTCAAAGAGCAGCAAAGCCTGGCAATTCTGACAGCCGCACCAGCGTCCCGTGGCCTGAGCCTGTCTTCGGTCAGCTAAAGCTGATGCATAAAATTAAACCTTGTGCTAAGGGCAGGTACTGGACTAATGCTGCAGATTAATCCGTTTTAAATAAATGACACCCATGTTAAAATGGGCATTACATGGCTGCACTAAAATGTTTCATCATCACGTTTAGCTAGGTGGGGTTTTTTGCATAGAATTTGGGGGAAATGTTTAATTTTGTACGCTGGCTTCGTGGTATCAGTTGACTTGCATTGGTTCTCCTCGATGGCTCGTTCCGAAAGGAAGCGTGTTGTCATACAAATTTTTGGGGTGTTCCAAAAGCATCTCCCTTTTCTGTGTTGAAAGAGTTATAAAGATGATGATGATGAGGTAAGCACTTAAAACAGTTATTTCCTTCTATTCCCAGGAAAAACAGCAGGAGAAAGAAAAAGAAGCTTCGGTAAGACCATTCAGGAAACAGAGCTTATATGCGTATGTAGTAATTCCAGTAACTCCAGGGAGTTCCAGTATCACTTCCAAATGCTTTATTTTTCTCCCTACTTTCTTGGGCTTTTTGATCTTTTGAGAACCAGAACACAAATTAATTTTCCCTTTTTTTTTTTTTTTCCAGCGTCTCTTTCAAGCCTTACTTTTTCTATTCCCCTTCTGCTTGTAATGGAGATTTTTCTACATGCGTTTATGCAGAGTTACTCTTACAAAGCAGATTTTATTTTCTATCTCCAGGGAAGTGGGGGTGAGCAGCGGGGGGTACTTGCAGTCCCACGGGCCAGAGACTCGGCCTTTCCCCAAGCACTCTGAGCTCCTTTTAACTTTCCAATACCCGATTTCGCTTTCTTTTTCCTGTCTCTTTTTTGCAGACAAACTCCTTCCCTCAGCCCTTTGCATCCCTTTCGCTCCCGGGAAGCGATGCAGCTCTCCGAAGCGTTGCAGGCTGCTGGGGACGCTCCCAAACCAGCGCGTTTAGAGACACGCCAGCAAAGGCATTTCTCCTCGCGGCGTATCTCGATCCCATCCCCTCTCCTTATGTTATTTTTAACGTATTGCAGCTAGAGGAGAGATTTCACGTAGGGAACGTGCGAGTCACAGCCGTGGCAATGAGCTGCGCTGACCGGCCGGGTTCGTTACCCCCGGTCCTGACTTGCTGCGGAGGAGAACTGGTGGGAGGGAGGATGGAAGCGCGCGTTGGCGTGCCGAGATGCTCTGGGGGTCGGGGGGATCCTACTGGCAACACATGTTTTACCTCCGAAAAGCCAGGAGCTCGCTTTGACGCAATGCAGTAAAAGCAGGCAGAGGGAGACACCATAGAAACTTTGACCCAAGTTGCAGCTGCAAGTAAAGCCCTGAATTTTCTGTTTTCTGACCCTGAATTTTCTCTTTTCCACCCCTGAATTTTCTCTTGCTGTTTGGGCAGACGGGGTCTGGATCAGGCCGAGATTTCAGCGCAGGGAAGAGAAATACAATCCCGAACGCTTTTCTTGAGATACACACCCCCCCCCCCTTCCGCTCGGCAGGTATAATGCTAGAAATTTACCTTCTAGTAACTAAATAATTGCCAACTCGTCATTCGCTGCCTTCCTAGGTTAGTTTGAAGAGTAGCTGAATTCCGAGCAGGGAAGGAAGAAAGCCTGCAGCGATGGGGAAAGCACAAACCCTGCTGCCTGGAGAAAATTCTAGTGCCTGACTCAGCTCCCTGGCCATTCCGTAACGCTGCCCGGGTTGGTTCCGCCTGGGATTTAGTTCTGGGATGCTGCAAATCTCTTAATCGTAGCTCCTCCACAAGCCTACAAAGATCCTGGGTTAGAGCCCTCCAGCTCCTGAACTCACGGGGGTCTTGGTGCCCCACCTTAAATGAGACACATAAATCTTCACGGTAAATCCCTTTAATTATTGTTTTTCCCTTGCGTATTGATCAATGAACTTCCGTGCCTGAAAGTAATTAATCCCTTCACTGGTTATGCACAGTCTGAAGAAGTAATTGGTGCAGAACAGGCAAATAAAACGCTATTTATGCATCTCTGCCCTGGAATTATGCTATCTTTTGAAACCGTTTGATTGCAGATGTCAGTAGACAAAACCTCTTGGCAACATTAAATATTAATCAGTTCTTATAGTTTTATAAATATTTAGAAATGTGTTAACCAGTTGCTTATTTCTCTTAGGAGTTGATGGAAACATTTGCAGTGGGAGATAGTCTAAACTCACAAATTTATTTTGTGTGTTGGAGCAGAGGGGAAAAAAAAAAAAAAAGGCAGTTCTGGGTAATAACTAAAGGCTGAAGTATGTTTTGGGTGGAAAAGGAAGGGAAATGAGGATATGCACCAGTATTCTGGGGTATCAGCTCCTCCGCAGTTTGTGACATTTTAGCAGATTCTAGGACTTATTTGGAAGCGCGTAAACAGAAAGTTTTATGTTAAATATTGGTCTCTGGTTTAATTTTTGGTTTTAGTCGTGGTGTTCTCTTGAAAATTTTTATTAGATCCAAGAGAAAAATAGCTTCGGTGCTCACCAAGCATCGGGCGTGCCCGTGTTTTAACGTGACTCGGTGCGAACACTTCCCGAGCGTGACCGGGCTGCTCAGCTCCTTGTTCCTGAAGGTACAGTTATTTTTGTGTCACACACACACGTCGCTTCCACAAATAAGCTCGCTGCAGAGAAGCTGCCACTTAATTTGCTAACTCCGCTTTAATTAAACGTCGCTCAACCAGCAAGCTGTTGAGCACAGATTTCCATTATTGGTATCAGCAGGAGAAACATTCATTCCTTTGCTACACAAAGACATTCAAATTTATTCGAAAGGCTTATCTGCCGTGGGCTCCTGACGATTTTGCCAGTGAAGAACATGCAGAACCCTTTCAATTAAAAACTCCTTGATCTCCAGTTATCGATAAGGGGAAAGCATTGGAAGGCGTATGCAAATCGGAGAGATTTTGATCAGACCCTCAATTAGGGAACAGATTTCGGGGCAGTCTGTGTGCTGAGCCCAGGCTACCGTAAAACTCATGTGCATTTCTTCGCTGGCTATGCTGGGCAGTAGTCTTTGCTTTCCTTCTGCAACGCGGTAGAAATAAACACAATATTCATCCCATAATAAGCCCTATTAGCTCCCCAAATTGGAGCCCTCCTGTTTTTCCCTCTGTTTCATTCGTCTCCGTTTATTTTCTACGTAGTGGGATGTCAGAGGGCCCTTTAATTGGCTTTCTTCCTCATAGAGGCACTCTGGAAGGGGCAGCAGACGTAGGCCAAAGCTCAGGAGGCCTTTCTACTGGAAATTAAAAATTGCTTTAATTTGGTTTTATCCATCAGTTACACCAGGTATGATCTGAGCCCTACCCAGCTGCAGTTCAGCCTCTGAAAGGGTCTCATTTCTACAGTTATTTTTAAACAGACAAATATGTTAAAAAAAATGAGTTAGGGATATTTTTGATACATGATACCAGTATCATCTCTGGGACAGTTTCCTTTTTCCAGGAATTTATTTGCTCTCAATTTGGGAGTTTTGTGTTTAGAGGCAGATTGCAGCTGTTGATTATTTGAGACAGAAATAATATAATTAAGGCAGAAGGGGAAAAAAATAATCAGTAGCTACCCCATTTTAATGAACACATGGTGTCTTGGTTCAATTAGTTAATGGATCTTTGCACACTTAAGTGACAAATGAGTGCCCTAGAAGATACCACAACCAGTTGTGGCTCACAGACAGGCTAGCTTCTCAGGGAAAAAAAAAAATTTTTTTTAAAAAAATCAAGGAATGGTCTAGAAATTGCCACCTCTCTAAGGCTCTGCTTGCTGAGCCCGGTGTGCAGGGAGGGAAATTACCCCCGCAGCCAAGTTTATAACACCATTCCAATTCTAGCGGTTCCTCTCTGCTCCAGAAAGCGTGGGACGCAGCTCCCGAGGATTTGCTTAAACCAGCTCAATAGCTGTGTTACGTTACAGGAAGAGTGTTCATCATAGCCCATTTCGCTTATTTGCTAAATGAGGAAATGAAAAAACACCTCAAGCAACTTCCCACCCCACACAACTCTCTTCCTGTTCAGGACCGAGTATCAAGCTCCCAACCCCAATCCTTCCTTGAAGAAAGTCACCAGACAAGTCATATTTTCAGTATTGACCTTTATTGAGCAAGAACTGCTGTGACTGTTTTACATCAAACAACAAAAGGTTGCGTACTGTGCATGTCAACTAGGTTCTCCCATGAGCAAAAGTCCACCCTAATTGCACCAGTGAGGTAAACATAATTATTTATAAGTAGCTTTTTTATTTTTTAAGGCTAGGAGAGTTCTGGTTCTCATGAATATTCTATTACTGTTTTCTGTTTGGTTTTGGCTCAGTTGGTTCTTTGCATAATACATCTTAAGTCATCCCTCAGATATGTCCCTCCAACAGCTCAGGAAAATCAGAAAGCTTCCTTTGCACATTTCATCTCATGCACTATTAGTAGTAGTATTTGTTTTAGATCCCCAAGCTCTGTGGAGGGAGCACATCTTGAGCCTGCATGCATTCCCCCCCCCTCCCCTATATTGCACAAAAAAGTAAAATACTGTGTGTCTGGAGCCTCCATGAGAGAACCCGTTCTGCTTTGAAGCCGTCACTCACATGCATTTTGCAGTTGTCATATGGCTTAACCTTTTGCACCAACCCAAGCTCTTTAATTAATTTTTTTTTTAATTTAGCTATGATTTATTTTATTCGGTCTCTTTAATCTCTTTTACTACAGCATGTGAAGTAACTTTCTCCACTTTCTTGGTGGACACTAATTTCTCCTCAAAGCTTTCTTCGTGTTCCTCTACCTTCTGAGTGACTGTCACTGACTTTGTGATATACGTGGTCGTACTGTCCCCACCTTCACCAGTGATTTTCTCTGCTTTTTTGGTTACTACAATTTTCTCACCCTTATCATCGGTTGGGCTCACATCTAGGCCATTGGTGACAACTCCCTTGTCTTCCTCCTCAACCTCCTTCTCTTTGGACTCTTCCTTTTTCTCCTCCACCTCACCATTCACTGCAATATCTTCTTTCCTGGACTCCTTCTCTACCTCTGCACTAATTTTTGTTACCTTTGTGACGGTGACGGTCTCCTCCACCACAGCCTTTTCATCTTTGGCCGGGGAAGCTGGCTTCTCTGGAGAGCGGGGCTTCTCCGGGGTTGCCGGCTTCTCTGGAGAACGGGGCTTTTCTGGGCTTGCCGGCTTTTCCGGGGTCGCCGGCTTTTCCGGAGAGCGGGGCTTTTCTGGGGTTGCTGGCTTCTCCGGGGTTGCCGCTTTCTCCGGGGTTGGAGGCTTCTCTGGTGTCGCAGGCTTCTCCGGGGTTGCTGCTGCCTTGTCTGGAGAGGTTACCTTTGGTGTCGCCGAATTCTCCGGAGATGGGGCTTTCTCCTCCTCCTTGGCTGGTTTCTCACCACCCTTCTCCACCTTCTGTTCTTTTCCTGCTTCTGCAGCCGTTTCCTTCTGGACAGCCTTGGCCGGCTCTGTGACAGGGGACTTCGGGGGGGATTTAGGGGGTGACTTTGAGGGAGGTGTTTTGACCTTCTCTACCTTTGCTGCTACCTCTTCAGCTTTGCCCTTGGCCTCAGCTTCTCCCGCCTCTTCTTCAGCCTCCTCTCCTTCTTCCTTCTCCTCTATTTCTTCTTTTTCAGAACCTCCTTCTTCTGCAGCATCAGATTTTGCGGCTTCTTCCTCCTCTGCTTCCTCTTCCTCCTTCTCCTCTTCCTCAGGTGCAGCTGCTTGTTCTGCAGCAGCCTTCTCAGAAACAGTTTCTTCCTCTACAGCTTCTTCTGCTTTTCCTTCCTCCTTTTCTTCTTCCTGGGCCTTGGCTGCCATTTCTTCTGCAATGGCTGCTAGGGCATCTTCCATTTCAGACTTCTCATCCTCTACTTTTGTCTCTTCAATGATTTCTTCTACGAACTTGTGCTGGACCTTCAGCTTTGGTGGTTCGATTTTTGTCTTCTGAATTTTAGTGGATGCTATTGTGACAGATGGTTGCCTGTGTGTGAATATGGGTCCAGTGATGCTTCCTGAGAAGGCACTGAATCTTGTCTCTTCACCCTCCAGTAGCTTCCTAAGGGAATCCAGAGGAGAAAAAAAATGAGCATAGAAACCCAACGTAAGGGACAGCTGTTAGAATATTTCCCTCTGTCAGCAGGATGAAAACAGTTTTATGATGTGGAATATGCTAGAGCTGATCAGCGCAATCCAGCCCTCACAGCCCCAGTTCGTCTTTCCTTGACTCAGCTCTTTGGTAAGATTCATATTCAGCAAACGGCGTTTAGCTTGGTTTGCGTATGGCAAGTGGAACACCTTTGGCTGGTCAGTTGAAATCCAGCCTTAATGTCAAGAGCTTTAGCATGGCGTAAGTCAGCACAGAGTATGATAAAATAATTAACTTCATAAGATGCGTTATGGCTTAGGCAAACTGATAATTTGACACAGCCGCAGACCCAAATCGAATATTAGCGGTTCAAAGCCAATTAGAGCGTACGTCCTAGTTCGGTGGTTGGGGCATCACCTTTCTCATGTGGCTATGAAAACTGAAGAGACTTTTGTTCAGCTAGCGTATTTGGCAGCAAACGGCTACAGACCCGAGGGCGTCTGTGTTTGTCTGAACAGCCTCAGGAATTTAAGCAGATCTGGAGATTTTTGTTTGTACTTATATTCAAATGCATGTTTTTCATCTAAGCCTGTGACCCAAAAAAATCAGCAGTTCTGATGAGAGTTCTAAAGTGATGCAAAGGAGACTAAAAAAACCTGCCAGGTGATGGCAATAGCAAGCATGGAGCGGATGCCTTTGAAGGAAAGTTGAGCAAGAAAAGCAAAAGTGTTTGTGACAGGCAGATTGGCACTCCCTGCTTGAAACCATGATCAAGCGGCTGCACCGTCTCTCTCAAGCGATAAAAGGGAATTGGAGTGACAAGCACCGACTGCTTGGCATATGCAAAGCAAACAGGAATTAAAAATAAAACTTGTCTTTTGTAAGGAAGGGCAGGATGCGGCACCAGGGCGGCACTGCACTGAGTCATGCTGTCTGTGCCCACCGAGCTGGCTGGGAGCTTTGCCACTTACCACCAGAGACGAGTCCCTAACGAGCTCTGCTTTCTCATTGCAAACGCTCCTTGGGTCAGTGTAGATTTTTAAAGCGTTGTGATAATTTAGTCAAGTTCCAATTTTACTTGGGTTTACTGCATTCAGACATTTCTTGTCTGTGACAAAGCTTCCCAAGCCAGGAGCATCTGCAGTGCTATTAATATTCTAGACACGTCCGCAAGGATCCTACTGTACCTGTATGCAGCAATTTCAATATCCAGGGCCATCTTGACATTGAGGAGGTCCTGGTATTCCCTCAAGTGACGTGCCATTTCCCACTTTGTTCCTCTAAGCTCGTTCTCCAGCTGATGGATCGTGTCCTGCAACGGAGACGCAGAGAACCTCTGTGACACAGACACAGGCTTCACACAGGGCAGGAAAAGTTCTCGAAAGGGACTTTCACAAACTCCTTCCCTGGGAGGCAGTGCCAGGATCAGAGCAGGACCCGGCCGGTTCCCACCGCCCTCCCCGACATCTCCCTCCCCCTGCGCCCACCCCAGCATCCCTCGCTGCAGAGCTGGTACCCAGGCACCACCACCACCCCCCCCACCCAAACTGGGCTTGGCAGAGCCCAGGACACCTCCCCGCTACCTGGTAGGTGGTGAGATCGTTGTTGTGACGCTCCTCGATGTCGCTGAGCTGCCTTTCCAGCGACTCCTTGGTGCCACGCACCGACTCCAGCTCGATGCTCTTGGACTGCAGCTGCCGGCGGTACTCGGCGATCTCCTCCTTGGCGGAGCGGATGGCCTCCTTGTTCTGCTCGGCCGCCTCCGTCAGCTTGGCGTAGCGGCACTTGAACCACTCCTCGGCCTGGTGCATGTTGTGGTCGGACTGACACTCCAGCTGGGCGCGGATCTCCTTCAGCGCCGTGGTCAGGTCGGTCTTCAGGTAGTCCTTCCTCTCCACAGTGGCGTGGGACGCCTG